TACAATAAAATAGGATACAAAGTAAACTATCTTTTAACGTTTTTGAGGTTACTTCATCTGGTGGACCATGGACTATAAAAAAAATGAATAATAAAAAATAATGAAATAAAAAATAAATTTTTGTCATAAAGACAAAAACTTACAAAAAATTTACATATTTTATAAAAATATGTATATTATGAATATGTATATATAAATATATATATATATATATATAAATATATATATATATATATATATATATATATATATATATATATATATATATATATATATATAATATATACATATATATATATATATATAAATATAAATATAAATATATATATATATATAAATATATATATATAATATATTTTTATATATATATATATAATATATATATATATATTATATATATATAATATATATATATATATATATATATATATATATATATATATAATATATATATATATATAATATATATATATATAACATATATATATAATATATATATATAATATATATATATATATATATATATATATATATATATATATATATATATATATATATATATATATATATATATATATATATATATATATATATAATATCTTTGCTTCCAACAAGTCTGCAAGCAACCACTAATTAGTGTTGGAAATTACTGGAAGAGAAAAGATGAAGATTGTAGAGCAAGATAACGATTGACAGGCAACTTAAAAGATTGCAAATTATATGAATCAGGAAAGCAAGATGAAGGAAGCAAATTCCAAAGAACTGATGTTCGAGGAAAAAAACTAGACAAATAAGAATTTTTGGAGCAGTTAGGAACAGTAACAGAAAAAGGATGAGATTTAATTTAATGACAAGTAACACGAGAATGAATTTTTGTAGATGGCACAAGAGACGCTAGCTCTTTAGAGCAGTACCTATTATTTATTTTGTATTTATTATGTATTTGGAGAAAAGAGTAAGAGAAGCAACATTACGACGATGTGACAGAGGTTGAAGGTTGGCTGCAAGAGTAGGTCCAACTATGTTTACAATGCATTTTTGCACCTTGCCTAAAAGAGAAAGGGCATCATTAGAAGATCCGCCCCAGATATGGCAACAGTATTCCATACAAGGCCGGATTTGAGATTTATAGAGATAGAGAATAGAATCCAGAGTAAGAAAGTAACAAGCTCGATAAAGAGAAGCGACTTTAGCAGATGCTAATTTTGCAACGGATTTGATATAAGGTTTCCAAGAAAGATCAGAAGTAAGAGCTAATCCTAGAAGATGAAGGGTAGGAGACTCATCGAGTACATTACCGTTCATAAATATAGGAAGGTCTAAATTATTGCGATAACGATTGGCTGAAAAAAATTGAGTTTTATCTGAATTAAAGCTCACCAGCCACTGTGAGCCCCATGCTGAAGCAGAAGTGAGATCCTTTTCAAGCTCAGATGCCCCCTGCAAGCAATCAGAGGGAGTTGGCTTCTTATTGTGACAATAATAAATGGTAGTATCATCAGCGAACAATGCCACCTTAGATGTGAGAAAATCTGGAAGATCGTTAATGTAAATTAAAAAGAGTATAGGGCCAAGGATTGAACCTTGAGGAACCCCTGAGGTTACAGAATAAGAAGAAGAGTGCTGTCCATAGAGGACAACTTTTATACTACGATTGGAAAGGAAGGATTGGATAATCTTAAAGATGTTTCCAGATACACCGTAAGAAGAAAGCTTATGGAGAAGACCAGCATGCCAAACTTTATCAAACGCCTTAGAAATGTCAAGAGCAATGGCCTTAACCTCTCCACCTTTGTCTAATGCGCAAAAAACCTATTAGTTATTACTGTTAGCAAATCAGCCGTAGAACGAGAAGATCGAAATCCATATTGATGATCAAAAAGTAGGTTATGAGATTCGAGATGAAAGATTAAGTGTTTGTTAATTAAAGATTCAAAAACCTTGCTTGTGATAGAAAGAAGACTAATGGGACGGTAGTTAGACAAATCAGATCGCTATCCAGAATTTTTAAAAATAGGGATAACAGATGCTGCTTTCCAGCAGGCTGGAAAACAAGACTCTGATAAGCACTTGTTAAATAGTTTTGAAAGGATAGACGACAGCTCCGGAGAACACTTCTGCAAGACTATAACAGGTATGTTGTCCGGGCTGCAAGCTCTAGAAGAGTCTAAGCAGGAAATCACTTTAGATACAGAAGCTAGAGTGATACGGATGTCGAGCAGTGGATCAATCTGTTTGACGGCTATATCAGGTAGAATGCAACTAGTGGAATCCAGAGATGATATTGATGAAAAGTTCTTGGCAAACAATTAAGCTTTGTCTTTAGGTGAGGTGACAAAGTCTGAATCGTACAAAAGAGGTGGAATTACAGACTTGCTCTTATTATTGATACTACTAAAGATTATCCAGAAGTCACGAGAGCCTAATTTTTGTGATGAAATACAAGATTTCATGATCTGAGAATAACGGGCTTTGGCGTTAGGCAAAACTCGAGAGGGAATAAAGTTATGTAAGAAGCACATTTGTCAACAGGAAGACGAAAAATTTCTACCCAGGGGCCATCACAAAGAAAATCACGGAAAGAGTCCCAGTCAGCTTCAAGGTAGTTGTAAGAAGTACAATGATAGGGGGATTCTGATGATAAAGAAGAATGAGATAATAGTTTTAGAGAGACCAAACCATGATCGGAGGTACCTAAGGGCGAGTGTGGAGAAAATGAGCACTGACTAGGATCAGAAACAAGACATAAGTCGAGTAGAGAAGGTAAATGATTCGGGTTATCTGGAAAGCAAGTTGGAAAGTTGACTATTTGAGTTAGGGATTGAGAAAGGCAAAAGTTGTGGGCCTTAATGCCTGCAGAGTCACTGACACTAGAGCCAAGCCATTCAGTGTGATGAACATTAAAGTCACCGACAACAACAATATTGGCTGATGGATAAATAAAGAGGGCTTGGTCAATATAATCAGAAATAACATCAAGAAGAGTGCAGTCTTGATATGAAGGAGAGCGATATAGAACAAAGAGAAAGGTGATAGAGTGAAGTGGTGCTAAACGAAAGCACATAAAAGAGTAGTCTGTGGATTCAAACCTAGTTTCCTGACAAATGGGTGAATTCTTACAAATGTAAATGCCTAGGCCAAGCATGTGACTATTGGAGTCTTTACGAATTAAAGGAAGATAACAATTAACACTAAGATCACAAGATGAGACAGCTGAACTCAAATTAGTCTCACAAAGAGCAAGTAGGTCTGGTGAACTTTGCAAGAGATAAGACTCAACAGAAGAAAAGTTACTTCGAAGACCACCAATATTGATGAATGATAGGTTTAGCGAACTTGACGATGACTGTGGTTTTTTGTGTTTTATAGTTTTTGTTACTTTATTCATTTTTAAATTTATTAAAGAACTTGACTCGAAACATAGATAGTACTCAGTACACTGTTTTATAGCCCAAGCAATTGCCTCATTTCCACTAATAAGCCCTAAGTCGTAACAAAGGGCTCCAATGTGGCCTTGGCAATGCACACCAAAAGTACAAACAGGGACACCACCCATGCGCAACATGGCACTGTTAGTAACCTGATATTTTTCAGCTGTTGATGGAATCAGCCTCTCTGAGAGCTACCACAGAGTTTGGGAAACCTGACTACCAGCCGGCCTCAGAACCATAAAACTGAGTTTTAGAGCTGTACCCTTATTTGGAGATAATAGAATGAGTTGCCTAGTCATAAAAACAGAGACACAAAAAAAACCCATGCATTGAGTCAAGAAGATTCAGCATTCAACATCCTAAACTGGAAACAATGTATTAAAAATACATCTGCGCCAGCCTAATAGATGGAGAAGGGGTGCGAGGCTGGTCAACAGATAGAATCTGTTTACCCCTTAAGTCTTTGCCTAGGAGGCCTTCTAGAAGACAGCAGCCAGATGCATTTAACATCTGCCCAAGATGAGTATTTTTATCGAGACACCATCTCTAGCCTTTACTCAGCCAAAAGCCCCAAGGCAAGGGGTGTTTTATGTTGGAGTTGACATCTCCTAGCCTATGCCTAAAAAGGCATATCCTACAAGGCAGCAGGACATGAAGCAGATTGTACTGGGTTACATGTTACCAGTAGCAGGATAAACCTGACCTGAATATATATATATATATATATATATATATATATATATATATATATATATATATATATATATATATATATATATATATATATATATATATATATATATATATATATATATATATATATATATATATATATATATATATATATATATATATATATATATATATATATATATATATATATATATATATATATACATGAAAATGAAGGAACAGAAATGAAAAGAAAAATAGAGTGAAAATTTTTAAATGCTTACTGTTTATAAGAATCTGATATTGTGGGTTTTGCTTTTCAAATATATCAAGGGTCTGATTTAGTTTTGCTTTGAGATATTCTGCAGCATATTTTCGTAAATAATCTATCTCAGCTACTTTTCTTTCAATTTGATCAATCTAAACAAAACAAAACAAAACAAAAAAATCATATTTTAAACAAATAACTAAACAAAAAAATTATGAAATAAAAAAGTGGTTTTAAAAATTATACATTTAATTTTATCCATTTTTATAAGTATCCATTTTTTAAGCAAACTATTGTAAAAAACAATTTAATTGATAGTGAACAATTTTTGTTTATATAAAAGTTTTTATTAAGTTAATTTTGTTTATATAAAAATTTATATAAAGGTAATATGGCCTGATCATAACATTAAACTGATCTATATTTGGGAAAAATTAGATTTCAAATCAAACCAATATCATATCAGAGATATTCATTACCTAGAAGGAAAAATTTGATATGAAACCACAAAGTTAATGTAGTTACAGGTAGAAGGGGCAACCTTAAATAGTAATCCTTCTAATGGAAGCATCACAATAAAAAAAACTCTTGAACAATTGATCTGAAGGTTTTGATTTGAAAACAGATTG